CTCCCTCCCTCCCTCCCTCCCTCTCTCTCTCTCTCTCACACACACACACACACACACACACACACACACACACACACACACCAGCTGCTCCAGGGCCTTCTGTTTTGACAACAGTTAACCGAGATCAAAATTCCTTCGCTGTGAGTTGTGGTTGCAAAGCATGCGACCACATTGGTTTTGCAATGGGAATCCTGGCCCTCCTTGTTGTGTTGTTCAGTGTGGACCAAGTAGCCTCTTCTGCCTGGGGAGGTACAGCCCGGTCCAGAATGGGGGAGGTGAGCGTGACCCTCCCCATCCAGACCGGAGAAGAGCCGGGCTGGGCTGGGCAGAGGCAGGGCTGGCAACAGGCTCCTGTTAACCGCTGGTGCAGAGCGAGCGGAGGCTCTTTCCCACTTTGCAAAGGGAACGCTGCCCTGGGAGAGCACCCTGTTGCTGCTGCTGAGCCCAGTATCTCCCGTCAGGGCGCCCCTTGCTTCTGATGGGTGCCTTCGGCTGAGCCCCCCACCCCCCGTCTCCCTTGCCCCCCACAGAACTGCCTGGGGCTGATCTACACCATCTACGTGGACGGACTGAGCACCTCTCTAGAGACCGTGGTTGGGAATCTCCTGACGTGCACCATCCCCATTACGGGGGGCTCCCAGGTGAGTTCCGCACCTGCCCCACATGGCTGACCCTCCAGTGACCCATGCCCAGGGCAGAGGGAGGGCTATGCATGCCCAGGCACACCTCACTTCTCTTCTGTTGGCCAGCCTTGCTGTGGTTTTGAAAGGCCGACGCCTGGCAGCACGGAGGGTTTCCCCAGATCAGGCCCTGAGGGAAGCTGGGGCTGAGGGGGGCTGTGATGGCTCCCCCCCTGCAGGGGAGTTTGGCTTTGGGGGCATTTCCAGGGACCAACCGTCTTTTTGCAGCTGGCTCTTCATTTTTCATTAGAGGGGCTTCTAAAATGTGGCTATTGCTTATTAACTCACCGGTTTTATTCATTTTATTTGTTATTCGCCAAAAATAACGCAGCTCCCTGGGGCCAAGGCTGCTCTGGCCTCCCTCTGCCTCCTGCGTAGCTTGCAGCAGCCTTGCCAGCCCCCCAGGACACTCCTGATAGGCAGGGGCTTCTGGGGGCTGCCCCAGTTAGTGCTGCCCCCCTCCTCCTCCCCCCCCACCGCTTTGTGCTGCTGCCCTGTGGCCCTTGGCTGCGTGTGTGCGTGCGTGTGCTTGCTGCCTCTTTGTCGCTTGGCCTCCGGTCTGTCCTGTGCTGTGTTTCTAACTGATTGTGCTGTGTTTCTGTCTGTCTCTATCTCAGCCTGACCTGGATGACGAAGCAGCGGTATGCACGACTTTTCTCTCCTCGGGGCTGCCTCCTCTCCCCCCCCCCCAAGGGGAGGCCTGGGGGTGGCCAGGAGCAGCTGCCTGGCCCTTCTGGCGTGTGCTAGGGAGAGAGAGAGAGAGAGGATGTGTGAGGCCGGGGGAAGGCAGGCAGGGTGCTGGAAACTGAGCTGGATTGGACCTTTTGCTGCAGGGCCCAGAAGGGGCCTGGGATTCTCCAGAGGCCGATTGTGCAGGCCCTTTCCCAGCCACGGCGGCTTTGCACCTGACGGGGCGAGACATGTTTTTCAGCAGACCTGAGAACCTCTCTGGAGACCTGCCGGGTTGTCTTCCACAGCCTCTCCTGTGACAGGAGGAAGGGCCAAGAGCCGATTTCCCAGAACCAGCTTCGGTTCTTTGGCCTCTGCAGCCTCTGACCCCGGGGCCTTGTCTTTCTCCCCCCCCCTCCCTCCCTCCTTGTTGCAGAGGACAATTTCCCTGGGTGCAGGCGACAGGCAGGTGATCCAGACGCCCATCAGCGACTCTCTCCCCGTCAGCAACTGCAGCGTGGCTCTCCTCTTCCGGCAGCTAGGTGGGGCCGCTCGGGCTGCTCTTGGCCCTCCATGCTGTTGCCGCCCTTGGGAGAGCTGACCCCAGGGCCCGGAAACCTCCAGGCCCTTGGTCCTGGGAGGCCGCAGTGTCTCCAGATAAGAAAGAGGCTCTGTCGGAGGGAGGCGGGAGGGTGAGTCCTGTTGGCGGCTGCGTCCCAGCGCAGGAGGGTCCCCTGGCGAACCTCAGAGACCATCCTCTTCCTCCAGGAATCACCAATGTGCTGATTCTCTTCTGTGCGGCCCTGACTGAGCATAAGATCCTCTTCCTCTCCAGCAGCTACCAGAGGCTGACCGATGCCTGTCGCGCCCTGCTTGCCCTCCTCTTCCCCCTGAAGTACAGGTCAGTAAAGAGAGGCTCAGCGGCTGGCGCTCCTCCGCCCCCAGCAGATCACGCTGCCTCCAGCTGCCGCTCTTGGACTAACTGGGCCCCAAGGAGCCGTAGAGCCTTTCCTTGAGAGGGTCTGCTTTGTGGGTCTCTCTGCTGCAGCTTCACGTACGTGCCCATCCTGCCCGCCCAGCTGCTGGAGGTCCTCAGCACACCCACCCCCTTCATCATCGGGGTCAGCTCTGTCTTCCAGTCAGAGACCCAAGAGCTGGTGAGTGGAGCCGTCCGCCTGGACATCGGGAAGCATAGCAGACCTGGGATCGGGAGGCCAGGCTTTGGGACGGGCTGGGTTTCCTAGTGGGCAGCTCCTTTCCCTGTTCCTGTCTCCTGGAAGGGCATTCCCTGTTCTCCTGAGCTGCCCTCCAGGCAGGGCTCCTTCTGCAGCTAGCATGGGGGCCCCTCCAGTCGTGGGATTGCAACTCTGGCCCTCGGCAGATCTGCCTCCGGCCACCTGTAGCTTCCTGCTGGCTTCTCCACTGACTTCGCATGTTGGGAGCCAGAAGGAAGCTGCGGTCACGTGAGGTCCCTGCTGAAAGGCAGCAGCAGCAGCAGAAGAAGGTCGCAAGAGTGCAGGACTCTTTAGCTTAGACTGAAGATGGAGGGGATGAGAACATGGAAATAGCCCCCTTAGATGAAGCCCATCTTGATGCAGCCCTCGGTTTCTCCCACTGGCCGACCACATAGCTCTGTGGTGCCAGTGAGAAGGAGGTGGGCTGCCCCTTTCCCGTCACCCTTCCCCTGCAGTGGGTCTCTGGCAGGAGGCTGCCCCAAGATGGAGGAATGCCTGGGAACCTCCCTGAATTCCTCCCGTTCCCCAGTTACTTCATCTCCACCCTGCCTTGAGGAAATGAGCGCAGGGTGAGGAGGTTCCCCCCCTCGTCTGCTTCGAACCTCCTCCTGGTCAGCTTCACAGAGGCCCTTGTGCTGGGGGTGTAACAGAGAGGAGACGTTCTCCACACCTGGAGGGTGGGGGTGGATTGACATCCGGGGCTCAGTCATCCAGGGAGACCAGGTGGGGGCAGCAGGCGGGGGGGGCAGCGAGCGAAGGGGTAGAAAATTCATAGCAGATGAAAGGTAACATTTCCTTACAGAATTTGGCCTCACAAAATGGTGTTGGTCACCGACGGGCAGTGGAAGGAAGAAAGAGTTGTTGGCACGACTGCTATTTTGCCTTGAGTGCCATGGCTGCCAGGGCTTTGGGCTGAATCCCATAAGAGCCAGTTTGGCCGCCTGGGATTCAGCCAAGGGATGGCGCCCTGGGCTCTCGCGTTCTCTCCCTGCCCCTTTCCGGGAAGACGCTCTGGGTCTCGCTTGTGGGGAAGCTTTGAGTTAGTTGGGCCCTGCAGAGGCCCTAGACATGAGAGGCCTTTGTCGCTTTTCCCAGCTGGACGTGATCATCGCAGATCTCGATGGAGGGACGGTCACCATCCCGGAGTGCATCCACATCTCTCTGCTGCCTGAGCCTCTCCTCCATCAGACGTGCGAAGCCCTCTCGATGGTGAGTGTTTCTCCCAAGGGGCCTGGAGAACCCTCTCCGAGTGGCAGCAGAAGCAGGCAAGGGCACAACGTAGATGGAGGGACACCAAAGGCGCCGCCATGCCTGGTGCTTTGTTTCTGAGCGCGGGGAGCTTTGATCCTATCCTCAGAAGCCACTTCTGCAGAAGGCAGTTGGTGCTCAGGGGGGGAACCTCCCTTGTTCCCTGCGTAATACCGGACCGAGGAGGCTTTCAGAAACTATTTGGAGTTGTACAATTGGTGGCAGGCTCGGGTGTTTTTCTACTCTTAGAGAGCTGTAGGGTGGTGTTTAACTCTGCTTATTTCCTTGTTTGGGGAACATTTGTACAGTTTCAAGGTATTTTTGCTCAGCTGTCTTACATAAATTGCTGGACATATAAGGTGGTTCATAAATTCTTTTGTAAAACTGTCGCCAATTTGATTAAAACCAAATTAAAGTAAAGCATTAAAGCAAAGTAATGGAATCTCTGTTTAAGGTATTTTTCCCCATCCCTTTCCGAAAGAGTTGAGAAAACTCTGGGCTTCTGATTAATAGGTTGTTTCAAACGAAGGAAAGGCGAAGTAAATGTTTTAGTCTGGTAAAGCCGGGATTCGGTTGTGCCTCCGTACGTAACATTTATGCCCATCATACTATCCACTTGTGGGGTAATAACAGAAAAGGCCTGAAAGTAATGAAAACGCTTGAGAAAGGAAAGGAGGTGCAGGTAACGTCTCTTTATTCTGTTTCTTCCTTGCCAACCATCTTTGTTGCAATTACACCACTCATAAATGTCTTCATTATCTTTTGGGTTGTAATTTCTCCCCTCTTTTTCAGGATCTCCTCAATTTCATCCAACCACAACTTTTGAGTTTCTCTTTTTCTTCCTGTATTTGTTTTGCAATTTAATCCTCATTTTCTTTTTCCTCTTGATGTTAGCAAACCACCCCTAGCATCCTGTCCATTCCCTTCAACATCCAGTCCACATTTATTCATCCCTTTTTCATTCTTGGCATCCCTTCTGTGTCAAGAAATAGCATTTACCTGTGAACTGGTGGGGACAGGACCCCCCCCCCCCTCAGCTTGCAAGCAAGTCCCTCGATTCAAGATTCCCCCCCCCCTCTCTCTCTGCAATTTTTCTGTAATCCAAACTGTCAATTTTGTCATCTCAGTCAGCTCCATCAACTTCACCATTCGTTGATTCTTTCGTTGCAAGTAACATCAAATCTTCCCACCACTAGGCATCCTATTGAAATCGTGCTGCTGTTATTTTAGTTATATATATATATGAAATAGGCAGGGCCCAAGGCGCTGACTGTATAGAGAGGCCTCAGAGTCGATCCAGCAAACAGTGGCCGGGTGTAATTTGCAGGCAGGAAGAGCATATCCTGGATGCCACAGCCAGATAGCTGGCATTGTGTGCAGGAACATCTGCCCAGAATGGGCATGGAATAAGGGCCCCTGGAACATCTGCAGCCTTCTGGCCTTCCAGGGGGGCCCTTTAGATCCGGGCTCTCTGGCTGCCCTTCAGGGGGGGGGCACCCTGTGCTGGAGGGGGAACGTTGAATGAGAGACACTGTTCGTCTTCTTGTTTTTTAGTATTTATTTAATCGTTGTTAATTTTAATATTTTAATATATATGCTTTTTAATCATTGTTAGCTACTTTGGATAGTGAGATGAGCAAGTGATAAATTTAATAAAAGAATGAATAAATACACGGGTCAGAAAATCCTTTGTTAAAATTTCAACTTTAGAAATCTAAGGATCCACATTTTCTGAGATCCAAATCATACCTATTCTTGAAAATGATCTATGTCTTTCTGAAAAATAACTACAATCTCTAGATTTACCACTTTTTATGTCTCACTAATGCTGAATTATCTATCAAAACCCCCCAAAACCCTGATGTTCTGTATAATAGCGGAGAAATCATTCCATTATAATCTACAATTTTCACAGGGAAAACTTAGGGTTATAGTTTTATATATAGAATAGTTTTAGAAGTTGTTTACACACAAACACACACACACGCACACCTTCGTCATAAGATCCTCGTGTAAGGTAATTATGCCTTGTTTTAATTTTTTTTTAAGAGTGAAACTTTTTTTTCTCTTCTGAAGAACACCATTTGCTCCACTTATATTCCACATTTTCAGGAGAAGGAGAAATGTCTTTGTCTATATAATAACATTCTTCTGCCCGCCCTGTGGCCTGGAAGTGAGAATATCAGGAGAGAGAAAGAAGACTGAATAGAGTGAAATATTTCCCTTAAGGCTCGGGGTGCCTGAAGGAGGTGGTGGAGGAGCCCCAGCCAGGAAAGATTAAGCGCGTCACTTTTAGCCCCTTTTTATTAACTGCACAAAAAGTGGAGGAGGAGGAGGAGGATCCCTTTGAAGCCACAGGAGAGGGGCCGTTGAAAGGTCACCTGGCCTTGTGTCCCGTGCAGTTGGGTTGGGGCCCGTGAACAACCGGACGGGCGGAGTGACGGAACCGAGAAGACCTTTCTCCAAGGCTGCTGTAGAGAGTAAGGAAGGTGATCTCGGTGGAAACAGGCAAAAACTGATTCCTTGGCAAAAGGGTTTTTTTTTCCCAAGGTCCAGGTGACATTTGGGTGTGGGTCAGGCAGGCCCCTCCCTGGTTTCACTGGAGTGTAAGGATGGGGAAGAGGTACAGCAGCACAAACAGAGGAGTAAGTTGCGTTTGCTTTACAAGTTGTGACCCTGGAGAGAGGGCGATTGGGGGACACCCCCCACCCCCCTCATTCCCTGGCTTTGTCTGAGCAGGTCTTGGATCCAGAGTTGGAGATGGCAGACCTGGCCTTCCCACCCTCCACCATCTCTGCTTCCTCCCTCAAGATGCAGGTAAATGAGAGCCTCTGAGCCGGCTGGGCTTTGGGCTTCTCCGCCCCAAGGAGTCTTCCTTGGGCTGCAGGGATGCTCAATGCGCAGCTCTGCAAAGGGGCTGCGGGATGCAGGGGTCTTTCAGGACCACAGCCGATGCTTCCCCTTCCCCTCTGACCTTCTCCCTCACCTGTCCGGCTGCAGGATAAGGAGGTCCGGGCAGTCTTCCTCCGCCTGTTTGCCCAGTTGCTGCAGGGCTACCGCTGGTGCCTGCACATCATCCGTATTCACCCGGAGCCCGTCATTCGCTTCCACAAGGTAGGCTGTGGAGGAGAGTGGTCAGAGCAAGCAGCCACGGGGTTGAATTCTCTCTGGTCCACGCGGTGTAGAAAGCTTGCTCCGGGGGGCTTTTAGTAGTGACATGTCCCAGGCGTCCAACACTTAGCAGCGGGTGATGGAGCTGAGGTTCCAGGATTTGATGCCCAGCAGGGTGGAAGCTGGTGGCGCTGGGAATGTTTCTTTCCCTCATCCAGAGCTGGGTTGGGTCCATTTCTCAGCCGGGGCGATGGATTCCGCGGTCTCAGGAGAGGGCTGTTCTGTGGGCCTCTGGCCTTCCCCCTCAGCACAGGCCCCCTTCCCAGGCTCCTCTTTCCCTTGCTGCAGGCCGCCTTCCTCGGGCAGAGGGGCCTGGTGGAAGACGAGTTCCTCCCCAAGGTGCTGGAGGGCATGGCCTTCGCAGGCTTTGTGACCGAGAGGGGGCCCCCCTACCGGGAGACGGACTTGTTTGATGAGGTGAGAGGCTTGTGGGGAAGGGCTCAGGGGCACCCCCCCAAAACCCCCGATGCTCCAGCTGTTTGGTGAGTGTGGGTGCACGCACGTTAGAGGGCTTAAAGGAAACTTTCCTTCCTTTCCTAGCTTGTGGCCAGTGAAGCCAAACGGATGCAGGCCGATGAAGGAAACAAGGCAAAGGTTCTGCGTCACATCAAGGAGCTGGCAGAGCAGCTCTACAAAAATGTATGCTGACTTAGCCCTGGGCGTAAGGAAGTGTATCAGCCCTGCGGGCAGATGCCCTGCGTGGCATCCTTACTCCCCCCCCTCCCCCCGGGAGAGCACCAGCCTCTCCTGTTTTGTTCCCGCTTTGAGGATTGGCCAGGGGGTGCTGGCCCTGCGCTGCACAGGCGCTTGACTGGGATCCCCCCTTCCCCCGGTGTCCCTCGCATACACAGGCTCCGAATCAGCGGGTGGCTTTTTGGCATCCAGCTGCACATCCCTGTTCTTGCTAAAGTCTTGTCAAGCAGATTGTCCCGTAATGGCGAATCAGCCTGCCCGATTCTGTCGTGGGCAGGAGAGATGCTGACCCTGGCTGGACATTTGGAGGGCTCAGCTTGCTTGGGTGGTGATGACCTTGGTCCTGGCACAGGCAGCGGCCGCCCTTAACCTTTGCTGCCGCCGCCTCTGTCGATCCAGGAGAACCCGTACCCTGCCGTGACCATGCACAAGGTGCAGAAGCCCACGGAGGGCTGCCACCTGCGCCTGCACCAGAGGCCGTTCCCCCATTTGGACGAAGGGACCATCCAGTGGATTGTTGACCAGGCCACGGCCAAGCAGCAGACAGCGCCTCCTTTGGTGAAGGCGGAGAAGAAAGCCATGGTGCCATCCGGGCCACCCCTGGGTACGTGGGTGTCAGCCACTGGCGCCGGTTGCAGCCCCGGGTGGTCCCCTGGGGAATTCAGAGGCTCCCTTGTTGGAGCAAGTGCCCCAGGCTGGGTCTACGGGCAGTTGGGAGGCGTTTAGAGAAAGGAATAAGGACAGAGGGGGCCCTGGGGAGATCTCTCCGGGGCCATGCAGAGAAGCAGGATATCAGTCTAAAGCATGAATGGATAATTAAAAGGATCCCATTTGAGTCAGAGTTCTGAAAGGGATGGTCGGCGGCCTTACCTTCGGCATGCAGGGTGGGTCTCAGAGGCCCCCATCTCCCCTTCAGACAACTGCCGGCTTTAATAAGGCAGGAGCCCCAAGGCAGGATCCGGCAAGGACCGTCTCGCCTTCTGGGTCATACCAGCGCCACTGCAGCTCCTCGGCAGGTGCCCCTGTCTCAGGAGATGCGGTATCACCATCCGGATTAGCCTCCCTTCTCGCCGGTCTAGATCTGGTGACAGCAAATTCATTGAATGGCCTTTGGTTCCGCTCTCACGGACGGCTTTGTAATGACCTGGTTTTACCTTCCCCGCCTTCATGCTGAACCCTCCGTATTCCCCAGCTGCTCCTATGGAAGGGGCTGCTCTCCTCCTCCTCGCCTGACCCTTCTGGTGGCCTCTGCAGTCTGCCTCTTTGCCAGCTCCGCAGTCTCCTCTCTCAGCTTCAGGAGCTTTGAAAAGCTGCAGGGAAGAGAAGGATAGCAAAGCATGGAGGCGCCTGAAGGCCCCCTGCTGGCCTGGGTGGGGGCTGCTGCTGGCGGTTCTCCTGCCCAGTTTTGGGGTGCTTTCCCGGAACCTCCAGGCAGAGGCTGGCTTTTCTCTCTTCCAGGGACCCTCACGGAGCGGAACGGGATGCTCCTGGCCAACAGTGCCCGGCGGCTGGAGGTGGTCAGGAACTGCATCTCCTTCGTCTTTGAGAGCAAGATGCTAGAAGCCAAAAAAGTGAGAGCCAGGGGAGGGGAGGGGAGGGGGGTCCCTCCCTGGGATAGGCAGCCATCCTTCCCTCCACAAAGGTCTCTGCCGAGGTTGAGATTTGGCAACAGGTGTGTGTAATGTTAGAGGGCACTTTCCATTGCAGAAGCTTTTCAAAAGGGGGGGGGGGGGCTTCGTCTCTTAAAGAGAGGCTTTAAACAGGAGCCAGAGCAGTTGCTGGATGCTTTCCCTCTGACCTGGGGGTGTAAAGCAGGACAGAAGCCCCAGAATACAGGTTGCTGGGTGGGGGGTGGGAGTAGGGGAGGAGAATTGGCTGGCAACTGGGGCCCCCTCCCAAGAGCAGAGCCCCCACTGGCCTCAGGCTTCCCCAGAGCAGGACGGGGGGTGGGGGGGCGATGCGGGGCTCCTGCTGAGCGCTGCCCGCTTTGCCTTGCAGCTCCTGCCGGCTGTGCTGCGGGCTATGAAGAGCCGGGCCGCTCGCCACTGCCTCACCCAGGAGCTGAACCTCCACGTGCAGCAGAACAGGGCCATGCTGGACCACCAGCAGTTTGATTTCATTGTGCGGATGATGAACTGCTGCCTGCAGGTGTGGCTGGAGGTCTGGGGACCCCTCCCCACCCCAGCGCCCGGCTTCCTTGGGGCTGAACTGCAGCACTGCTCTTATCTCATCACAGGACTGCAACGCTGCAGACGAGCACGGGGTCGCTGCTGCGCTTCTGCCTTTGGTCACTGCCTTTTGCCGCGTAAGTAGCCGGGCTGGCGTTGGTGGTGGCCGAGGAGGGACGGGAGATGGGCATCCCCCCTGCTCAAGGCACCCCTCCCTTCCTTTCCCTTTGCCGTCCTCCAGAAACTCAGCCCGGGAATCACCCAGTTTGCCTACAGCTGTGTGCAGGAGCACCTGGTGTGGACCAACCTTCAATTTTGGGAAGCCATGTTCTACAGTGACGTGCAGAACCACATCCGGGCTCTCTACCTGGAGAGTAACGAGGAGGACTCTGCGGAGCAGGTAGAGCTGAGCTCAGGAGGAGCAGGGGGGGGGGCTTTTGAGGCAGCCGCCTCCCGGCTCATCCTCTGGATCGCTTCCCTGGCTCCCAGGTGGCGGAGGAGGAGTCGGCTCTGGATATCGCTGCCGTGCAGTGCCGTCTTTGGCCCACCATGAGCCGGGAGAAGCAGCAGGAGCTCATTCAGAAGGAAGAGAGCACCGTCTTCAGCCAAGCCATCCACTATGCCAACCGCATGAGCTACCTCCTGCTGCCTCTGGACACCAGTAAGAACAGGCTCCTGCGGGGCGCTGGACTCGGAGACGCCGAGAGCGTCAGCAACAGCTTAATCACCAGCAGGTAGCGTCCCACTGAGCCAGGCGAGGGCAGGGCGGAGGCACAGGTTGGGGAGGAGGAGGAGGGTGGTTGTGCTCAGGAGCCTCTCTGCCTCCTCAGCATCGCTGGCAGCGTGGCGGACAGCTACGACACCGAGAGCGGCTTTGAGGATGCCGAAAGCTCCGACGTGGCCAACTACGTGATACGGTTCATCAACCGCTTTGTGGACAAGGTCTGCACAGAGAGCGGCGTCACCAACGAGCACCTCAAGGGGCTGCATGTCATGATCCCAGGCAGGTGCCCCCTGAGTCGAGAGTGGTCGGGAGGGGACGGTGGTGGTGCGGAGAGGGGCTCTCATCGCCTTCTCTCCTGCCACCCCCAGACATCGTCCAGATGCACATCGAAACCCTGGATGCCGTGCACCGAGAGAGCAAAAGGCTTCCTCCAATACAGAAGGTGAGCGCTCCAGTCTGGGCCCCTGGGGAAGGAGCTGCCCGCCGGGGTGCGGTGGGCAACCTTAGTTCCTGCAGGCTCATCGGCCTTCTGGCTAGAGGTGAGCAGGCTCTCCTTCTCGCAGCCCAAGCTCCTCCAGCCGAGCCTGCTGATTGGAGAGGAGAGCGTGATGGGTGGCCTGCGCGTTTACCTGGTGCCCGACGGCAGGGAAGAAGGCGCTGGAGGCAGCCTCGGGGGGCCTCCTCTGCTTCCGGCCGAAGGAGCGGTCTTCCTGACCACCTACCGCATCATCTTCAAGGGCACACCCACCGACCCGCTTGGTAAGGGGGCACCAGAGCGGTGCAGGCTTCTAGGAGGGAGTGCCAGGGAGTGTGAGAGAGGCCATGCTAAGAGCCAGACCCCAAGGGGGTCCTTGGAAGGGGCCATGGAGGAGCCCAAGCCCAACCGTCGGCTTAGTGCAAATTAAGGCAGGTTGGCTGAGAGAGAGAAAATCACTCTTGACCACCCTCCTGGGTGGCCTCCTTTGGGGAATCTCTCTTGTGCGCGTGCACACACACACACACACAGAACACTATCCTTTCACAAAGCTAAATGCTCTCCACTCTCAATCCTTCTCCTAGAATTTAGTTTATAATCCCCCAGTCAACCATATATCAGTGCTGAATCCTTGAAATTGGGGGCCCAATTGAGGTGGGATCTCCTTAGTGCAGAATAGATGGGGGAGGGGACCTCCTCTGTCTCGGATGGTCTCCATCAACTCCGAAGGAGCCTAGAATCAACTCTGCTTGGTTTGCAGCAAAGGAGCTTTTGCCTCTCTTGCATTTTTATTTTGTTATTTATACTTTCAGCCTACTTTTTTAATCATATCAATATTGTTTTAAGTTTTATTTCAGTCTTTACAACATTATAGCAATGGCCCTTAGGCTTATATACTGCTTCACGGTGCTTCACAGCCCTCTCTAAGCAGTTTACAAAGTCAGCCTCTCGCCCCCAACATTTTACCCACCTCGGAAGGACGAAAGGCTAAGTCAACCTGGAGCCGGTCAGGATCAAACTCCTGGCAGTGGGCAGAGTCAGCCTGCAATGCTGCACTCTAACCTCTGTGCCACCACAGTTACCCATCCCATTTGAGTTCTGCAAATCTGATCAGCATTCTCCCATGCTCTTAATCCAAGTCATTAATGAAATCGGATCTGGGTAGAGTTGAATGTTAGAACATTCATTCGTTCAGTTTCTACAGCTGCCCATCTGAATATCTCTGGGCAGCTTACAATTCAAAAAATGTAATCAAAGTACTGAAGGCATTATAAAACAAGAAAACCAGTAAAAACATCCAAAATAAGCATACGTAGCAGCCAAGATAATTGTCCAGTTAGCAGTGCAGCCAGGAAATGAATGTGCCCTTAATACATTCAGCACCCAGCTCTCAGGAACATGGGGAAAATAAGAACAGGGCTGGGCCCATTCCGGTCTCCGAAAGGGGGATGTTCCGTAAGAGCAGGGGCCACTGTAGAAGAAGCCCCCTTCTAGTCCCCCATCAGCTGGAGGATGGCATCTGCGGCACCTCCGTCCTCGCTGGGCTGGGCTGGGCTGGAGCAGGAGAGACTCTGGACATTCGCCTCTATTGCGAAAGGCAATCCCTCGGCTACCCCGCTCCCAGGCCAGGCTTCAGAGGAAGCCAGAATTGCCATCACAGGAAGGGGTGGCTCGGCCCGTCCCATCAGATGCCATCAGAGGGCATCAGTTTGTTTTAATTTAATCCTTGCACGTTGCTCAAAACAAGCAGAACTATTGGGGTGGGGGGGTGGGAAGAGGCCCAGCTCATTGCAGTAGAGCTCCCATAAAGCCTCAGCACCTGCCATGATTATTTCTTCCTTCTGTGTAAAAAACAGGAGATACTGGGGCAGCCTGGGTGAGTTCTCACGCCATGGCCAACAGAGAACTCTAGATTGCAGAGGCTGGACTGGCATGGCTATATTGGGGGGGGGGGGGGTTCAAGAAGGGACAAGCCTGGCACAGCTTCTGCTTCTGCGTGGAAATATAGACCTCTGGATGGGTTCCCTCACCGCAGCCCTTGGCCCAGCTGGTGACCCCAACCACATAGAAGGGGGAGGTGGGGGAGGTTTTGCACATTAAGGGTCCCCCTGGAGAGAGAGGGAGAGAGAAAGAGAGAGGGGGGGTATCTAGAGCCAAGGTGGCGCAGTGGTTAAATGCAGCACTGCAGGCTACTGCTAGATCAGCAGGTCAGCGGTTCAAATCTCACCGGCTCAGGGTT